CTGGCTAATAAAGGGGACACTGAGGCATTCCTCTGCCAACTGAGATAAGTTAGTTTTCCAACATGTTCTGCATCTGCTCCAAGGCATGCTAGATTTAGACATCCTAAGATGTCTGAATCAGGTCAACTGGCTTGTTTTGATGCGACTGAGAAGTGGCTCCACTCTCTATCCCTCCTCATGCTATCTCTAAGGTAATGCGTAAAAAATAACATGTCCGGCTAATACAGCGGTAGTCAAATACCACTTAGGAAGACATTAGCTTGTGAGGTTACAGGTTACAATTAATCATGCAAATGCTTGGGAACATTAAAATGTCAGATTAATGATTTTTATAGATTTTTTTCTTGTGATAGAATTAGCTTATGGCTATGATAAACTGGCTAGTTTAATATTAGTTTTTCATTTACAGTAGGTTTTTCATTCAGTTGTGGTAGAATTAGCTTGAGATAGCAAGTTATGAAATCTGGCAGCAACAGTTGTTAATTTGTCTTATATGTTTATTGAAGTTCATAGTGACAAATTATCTCACTGATTCATACGCTGAAACAGCTTCCGATTGGCAGAATACAATCATCATCTGGTTTTAACTGACTCACTGTAGCTCCTCTTTGACACCTTCAGCAGTGTTGGCTGAGACAACAAAGACGTCCTTCATCTCCTCTCTTAGCATGTTACAGGAATAGCCAATGTTCTCTGCTGTCTCTGTTGAAGAAAAAAAAAAAGAATAATTCTCAATCACCTAGGTGCTAGAAATCTTTAAAGTCAATCTTGCAGCAAACAAAAGCTGGAACGACTCTCAGAGCATTTGTCGATATGTATATTAGATCTATGACTTGAAACCATGGAAACCCATCAACCAAAACTGTTGATGCTCTGAGATTGTGTGTAGATTAATGAGAGCAGGAACATAAGAATGTATTATACATCATAATGCAGTCTTTATCCACTTTGAAATGTATAGTTTAAAAAGAAAAAGTTCCACCGACCTTGCTTATCTCCAGTTAACACCCATATTTTGATGTCCGCTTTAGCCAGTTGCTCAATGGTCTCTGGCACACCGTCTTGCAACTTGTCCTCTACAGCTGTCGCTCCCAACAGCTAAAGCCACACATGCAGCTATGATTTAAACTGATGTTAAATAAAGCAAAGCAATGAAGCCATCCTATACCTTTATCACAAATTATGCTGGTTTCACTGTAACATTAGTGTACAATATAAACCAGGGGTGTCAAATATAAAGGCCTGGGTGCCAGAACTGGTCTGGCATAGACTCTAACCTGACCTGCTGGACAGCTTTGGAAAATGTGAAGAATGGAATTAATTTTGGACTATCACTTGTATTTTCATAGGTTTTTGCAGCTTTTCCTACTGATAAAGACCTCCCCCATGGCCATATGCATACTACACCAAGTAAATTAATTAATAGGTAAACAATTAAATGTTAGAACAATTCCTCTGAATTAACAAAACCTTTCTATTTTATAATTACAGGACAGTCTGGTTAATGAACTTTTCTGTAACTTTACATATTTACTTCTTACAATTTAAGCCCAAAGAGTCATGCTGATAAATTCTTTCATTTAATACAGAAGCATTTCTCATCATATTAGAAAATCTGAGACGTACTGTTGAAATTGCACTTCGTTTTCTTATTGGAAGATATCTCAGGGATTAAATGTGTAGTAAAACACTGACAGAGGACAATCTGAATTTCACATGAAATTAGGCTATATTGTGGGCCGTAATGTAAAATGAGTTTCATATCCCCGGTATAAAGTATAACTACCAATAGATAATCAAGCAGCAAATTCGTATTGACAAAGTTTTCAGCACATGTACTAACCATCATATCTTTCTCTATCTCTTCATAAAGTTCATCAAGTTTTTCTTCACGTCCCTCCATGGCAACACTGGCCTCATGGTGGCGCTGTTTCCAATCTATCATGTAGTCCTCATTTAAGTCTTT